ATCGATCGTTTTATGTTAGGTACTCTATACACCAAAGCCCAATACGCAGACACCCAATTCTTGTATTTCCACACCGTGGCATCCGTGCGTTTATCGGTATGTTATATGTTTGCGGCGACGTAAATGTTATCTATTGTCACATTATATAACTGTAGGTAGATAGTATGATTCATACTGTCATTTTCTAAAATTGGGAACGCGAGCATGAACGTAAATTGGAAATGAAGTGATTGTATAGACCACAAAATACTTTACCTTGGATGTCTCTATTGTTAGTACATTCACAGTTATTTATGTCATCACGAGTGTCATCATATCAAGAAACATTTTGTTGTTCCATTGGAAAATGTACAAAACCCCACGTACTTGGTGTATGGTGTAGTGGAAATGTGTCCCAAAAGGCCATAGCTATGTGCGTTAGGTTTTCCTTTACTAGAGGCATCTTTGGTAAAAATTTCAATGAAATACATATCTCCATAAATAAGAAAGTTGCAATTGCGCAGGCTGCTCATGCGCACATTTGATTTTTACTACATGCGATATGTTTGTCTTTACTCGAAGTATCTGTGGTTAAAATTTGCCCTTTCCCGGCAGAAGATCTGCTTGGAATCAGTAGAACTCGATTGTGGAAAAAATTATGGAGTCATCAAACCATCAACCGAAAATCAATATTAATGAACAGCCCGGATAGTTTCTTGGAGAAGGCAGTACCCTCGAAACAATACGGTGAGACGTGGATAAAGTGAGGGACGGATTCGAAGGTATAGCAAGATCAAAATGTTCAAAGTAAAACTGTTGTGGGAGAATGGTCTGCAAGTATTAAAGTGCCGCCAGGAAGTGGTGGAAGGCGTATAATTACCCACATAAGGAATTCTGCAGGTGTTCCTAGGGCTTTTTTTTAATTAAAAAATGTATTAATATAAAACCCATTCGCACGCCTATGTACATTAAAAACTTGTAACTAAAACCATTAAGACCGAATATGTTTCGTCTAGGCACAGATATACGTTTACGTACATCTGAAACTGTCATACCACTATTACTATCACAGCAGAAGTTCTAAACTCATTTCTCCACTGCATGAAAAATAGATCTATCGAAATATGAATGTCTTATAATTCCCTCAAACACACTGTACTATAACAATACTCAGTACACACACTCGCACTACTTTGCACTCGACGTTTTCTCAGCATTTATTGGCGAGTCCGTGGTATTATTTATCCTGCACTTTGTTATTGTTATTATTCAGGTCGTACTTAATAGTTACCTACTTGAACAAAAATTAATTTTCCTATCAGATTTTTTATGGTTTATTCAATACAATTATTGTTACAAATCAACAATTTTACGACGCAGGTAATTACGTTGTACGGGTATGGTATCACCACATACGACATTTTAATAAACTATAAAAATTATTGAGGTGTAAAGTATTGTGTCCCTGATATTCTGTATAATAGCATTGATAACATTTGACCTTCTGTAAAAACCAACGAATGCAAAAAAAATTACTGTGGCTACCACAGATACCACCCGCTCATCTACGTTTGCGCGATTCTGTCCAAAACCTATTCAGGTTTTACGTCTCAGAATTTGGTTGCAAACAGTTCAGCCGTTTAACGGGAGGACTGTACAGACCAGTGCCGTTTTTAAGTTTTTCGGGGCCCTGGGCCATTCGTTCGTGGAGGCCCCCCTTACCTACCCTCAATAAAAACGGCACAATGTTTGCATTTTGTGACGAAAATGCCCGGACTTTTATTTTATTGAACTGTAAAGTCAATGTCTTTTATTACTTATTAGGACTTTTTAACTTTCTGAATGGTAACCTTATACAGGGTGGTGACTTGCGTAACGCATAGGGATTTCAATGTAAAATTCATAACATGCAATTATTGCCTCCCCAAATTATTTTAGAGCAAAAATGTATTAAAGTTTTTTGTAGACAAAATTTTTTGTATCGTCTTAGTTTTCAATTTTTTACATATAAAGACGGAAATTGGAAAAATAAAACCCGCATCTTTTTCAATAATCTGCGATGCCATGGAATTTTCTAAAACAAAAAGATATCCAGTTATCAATTAATAGCAGCAGTTCGAAATGGATTTTATGATCGACTTTTTGATAGAATTCCATTTGTTTTATGCAGACATTCCATGGCATGACAAATATTGGTGTAGTTTTTGTATTATAAAATTCCATGGCATCACAGATTATTGAAAAAGATGGGGGTTTTACTTTTCCAATTTTCCGTCTTTATTATGCAAAAAATGGAAAACTAATACGGTTGATTGACGTAAAAAATTATAATTTCTACAAAAAACCTTAATACATTTTTGCTCTAAAATAATTTGGGGAGCCAATAATCGCATGTTATGAATTTTACATTGAAATCCCTATGATGTGCTACGCAAGTCACCACCCTGTATACACGATCTGCAGGATTTTAGAATTTGCGGTATCCCTTACTCTATGCATTAATTTTGTTTAAATCTGCATTTACTTTAAGGCGGCAGATTTTGCACTAAAATTTTTTCATTCACACAAACTTTTGGGGGCCCCTCAGGACTTCGGGGCCCTGGGCCCGGGCCCAGGTGGCCCATGCCTAAAAACGGCACTGGTACAGACCGAAAGACAGACAGGCATAATCGAGATTTTGTTCAGTTCGGATTCCCGGTGCACAACTTACATGATTTGCTTCGGAGCTTGGCGAAAAATGTCGTGTTCCGCGAATTTTCGCGTTTACGTTGCGTAGTTTTACCGCGAAGGTCTGGCTACGAACTCAACACGCGATCGAAAAATGCAGCGCTGGATCTGCATAGATTCTCTACGAAGGTTTGAGTAAGAATGCCGCTCCCCCACCAAACTTTTCATAATCAATTCGCCGATCTGAAAAATAGAAACGACCTCCCTCAGAGAATCCGGCTTCGGCCGCGTTTTGGTACCCTTCTCATGCTCCGACGCGACGGTTTTTAGAACCGCCAACACTATAGCGTTTTGACTCTTATCTGCTCGTTTGCTATCTTTATAAGTTCTGTTCTCTTTCCTTTTGAAATGCCACTGATTTCTCCGTGAAAACGTACAAAACTGTTGCCGTTGCAATTTGCCTATATTTCTCGTACTTAATCGGCTTTTGAAGAAAAAAAATCGATTTTGGTTTTTCGTCGATATCATGAAGGCCACGGACTATCACAAACAAAACAAAAAAAATCTGAAAAAAATTGAAAATTTTCCTTCTTCAATGTTACGCATTTTGCGTTACTCAAGGAAGAGATAAAACGTTCGTAAAAAAGCTATTTCTTTATGTGACTTCATTAGTGAATAGTGAACACGCATTTCGTTCGAGTTTACCACAGTCCACAACAGTTAACATTGTTGCTTATTATTTTGCTATTATTGCGGGAGAAACACTAGCTGACTAGCGTAATAATACAAACCTCGCACCCAACTATGAATGGCCGGATTCCCTAAGTTTTGAAAAACGCTCACTCGTACCCAAGCTTACTATCGGAAAGGTAGAACACAAGCTAATAACAAACTTTAGTGAACTGGAAAAACAAAAGAGAGTTTATTGAATAAATTATTGATCAAAAGTGTAAGATTAATCAAAAAGCCAAGAGTTCCTACAAATTTAGACAGAATGCATTTAAAACTCATCGGACAAAAGAACCGAGTCGAAGAAAATACCGAATCATTGCTCACAGAGGGTAAATATAGGTGAAAAATCTGGACCAATATCTACAATATACCAAAATTAACAAGCTGAGGAAGTAACGCTTGAATTTTAATAATTTAAATCTAATTAATTTAATACGAAATTTGATATGCTCAAAACTAGCCAGCTCAAACTCAAATAGATTTAAAAGCAACTCCACTCATTTCCCATTCATGAAAAACGACATTCCGAAGTCTCATAAATAAAGTACATGAAATATTTTGTTAATTAGCGGAACCTTCTGCAGTCCAGAAGGTATTTGAAGGTCCTGGATACGGTAACCTTACATGGAAGTTGTTTTCAAGATGAATGTCTGTAAGTAATTGTAACACTCCAACATTTACCTCTGCACGCACGAAACAGTTAGCGACATTAAAAAAGGGCAGATTCATACACAACGAATTGAAATCGCTAATCAAACTAAATGAGTTTAAATGTATCTCCAGCGGTGTCTGTAGATACGCCAACGGTACTTATCGTTTGAAATCAGACAGCTCAGAATGGACGAAAATACCATAGTGGAACTTCCAAGAGAAAAGCTAAAACAAAATGTTGAACAGCGAATAAATAAATTGGCTAAAATTGATCAGTTCCTGACGCCTTCACAGGCAATTCCTATAGCCAGCCCTAACCATCAAGTTCAGAGTCGGGTAACGTCAGAAGATCGATATGAGTGGGCCACACCATCCATCCTGCTTCTTACTATTTGCCAATTCGAGGACTGACGATTTTCTCAATACCCTGTCACAATTCTTTCCTGGATAAACTTTGTGCCATGGCCTTCTTTTTGTTCAAGTTTCAAAGCACAGATTTGTCCTGCTAGCATACCATTTGTTCCCATAGCTACGTAGATCTACCACTTTGGCTTTGTGAGCACCTTTCCGGTTTGGTATCCGCGAAACCTAAACGCAATTAAGAATTATAGTTAAATTTTTAATTATGAAAGTAACAACGAACTTAAGGGCTCATAATTCATTTACAACGCTTTAATTAAACTTTCTGTATTGGAAAATTGAATAATTAAAGCAAGTTGGCTAATTAAACTTGAACAATTATCAAGGTTGTATTTCTTAGAAATCAACAAGAACCACTATGGCACTATCATGTGGAAGTACTGACGTTTCTACAATTATTGCAATCTTGAAAACGTTCGCTTTTCCTTACATTTTCCATGTTTCAGCATGGTAACAATATCGGTTATCGAAATCAAGGTTACGAAAAGCTTGCGGTAAATCGCACGCTTTATAAGATTGTTATTTTATCGAGCGATATGCAAATAACGCGATAACATTTATGCAATTTATTATAATCAAAAATTTGCCAACGATCCCATTTTAAAAATTACATGGAGGATTTTATTATTTTTTGGTTTCAGGTGACCAAAATGGTCCCACGGAGAATGGAAACGGTGCCAAGGCGGTCCAACTCAAGAGAGAGATGGGACTCTTCTCCGCTGTCAACATGATTTTGGGAGTTATAATCGGATCGGGAATTTTTGTATCGTCCGCATCAGCTCTAAACCATGCCGGTTCGGTTGGAATGTGCATAATCGTATGGATTGTGTGCGGAATAATATCTCTACTGGGTAGGTAATCGAAATATACGAAATCGACCTGTTATTGCAACACAAAAAATAAGTACCTACCGCAATGCACGCTGACACAGTTATACCGGTCGATTGGAAAAATACATCAATTCGATTGTAGGTCGCCTTCAAAAACAAGACTTACTTGCATCATAGATTCTGTAATAAATTAATTGATATGATCTTTGCTACCTTGCTCTTCAAATTCTAAGAAAAAAATACGAAATTACCTACTTTTATTTTTACCTCGGGCACTACCTATAAATACTAAATGTAATGGCAACCAGGTATTTCCCAGGTGTTATTGTCAACAAATTAAATTGTTTAATATTCATAAAGTGTGATTATTAGTATCCAACACATGTAAAAAATAATTTATCCTGCATTAACTACTCGTTTTCAATGCTCTTTTAACATTCGGGCAAATTCAAAAACATCATATCTCTACTACACACTGGAAATAACACTCAAAATTTGCTACGAAGTTAATTAGCATAGCAACTCTTTATGTGATCTTTCCCAGCATAGTTGCATTAGCATAGAGCGCGCATTATTATTTATTATCAGGTCTCCGCACCGCGATCTTATGGTCTATTGCACCCTCTAGCATTAGCCTTGGCTTATCTCGCTGACCAGAGATGATTCTCTAGTATTTTTCGTGTTCCCATGAGATTCTTTTCCTGGTAAGTGGTATGCGTGAGGTTTATGGATATTATTGTCATCTACTTACCTAGTGAGATTATATACGACGCCCGTTGGAGGCCGATATAACGAGGGAATGGGCTCTCTCCATCGCAACAAAAGGGAGTTCCGCTGCTACGGTGGAGCCCTCTCACTTACCTGGCACAACCGGAGTACTCACTTTCGTCAATGTGGCGTGCGACACTCCCGCGTGAGCTTGAAAGTTCTGCGGCTGGAGTGCCCGATAGGATACCTCATCAATTTCAAGTGTCTACCAGGTTCCTCCCTGCGGGAGAATTTCCTCCATACCCTTGTCTTGAAACCAGGATTTTGCTCGCCTCTGGAGGCGCTTTAAGGATGGTGTTGGCCTCATCCAGGGACCAGTATAACATAGTCATCACTTGGTTACCCTAGGGCCTGTACCTGTGAATTTTCAGAGACACACATCCAATGCCACTCCCTGTAAAAGACACGCCTACAACTCGTCAACTACTGCATTCCATGCAGCCACAATGTAGTACCTCGACAGAGGCTCAGTGATATCCGCCTCCGGGTGCGACACCAGAACAATGGTCACCCTGAGCCCCGCCGAGCGACTTTCCCTCAGATTCGTGGCACACCCGCAACTTTAGGTACCTCAGAACCTCTAGGTTTCTTCTCGAACTACCCTGAGCCAGACACTGGAGTGCCGGAGCCAACGACCCAGACACATCCTTAGGATTTGGCGCAGGGCCCGCTTAACCCGAAGTTTTGCCCTCGAATCTGTATTCCTGGCTATCGGTTTATGTGCCCCAGTCCGATTCTTCTTGCGAATAGCCGGCCATTACCAGGTCTTCGAATAAGGCGCTGTGTTGGAGCCGTCCCCTCCTTCTAGAAGCCTGCCTTGTTACCGGACCGCTTTGGAGAGTCCGGCTTGTTGATCCCCCTGAGGAGGAGCCCAGAAAAACTTTCTCTTCTTTCTCGCTTTCCAAGTAACTGCCTTCGAAGGAAAATCGCCAAGTTTTTCCTTCGGTATTCTCTATGACTTTGAAGATGATCCTAGGACAGTTCAAATGTGGACGATGCGTACAGACCTCCTCTACTTTGTCCCAGGACGTGAGGTCCATAAGAATAACTAACCATTGCTCTGTATGTCCCGTCTTTCGGTCTATTGTTCTGCACTCTTCGGGGGCAACGCCCGGATTTCGCTTAATCCGGACACACCTCCCTGAATCAAAATCATTGCTCTTAGAGGAGGAACCGAATCTGCATCCTTTCGCTTTTCCCTGTAGCAGCTCGACGCAACATTTTACCGTAGCCTGGTTGGAGTAGTGAAGCGGACGTGTTTGAGTATATTAATTCTGTTGAGGATCAAAGACTTAATGCGCGAGTGATTGTATCCTCTTCGGCAAGCCTACCCTTCGGGATTTAATGCATAAACTCCATCCCATCCGTATGGGACTTTTCTAGTCATTTCATATTAGATGCTTATTTCATGGTAAATACGTAAAACAAGTAAAAAGGTTTTCTCCCTAAGGCGAGTAACTTCAGCGAATTTTCCATAAATTGATCAATACTTCCCCAAAGGCCATACCTATGTGCGCTATGTTTTTCATTACTAGAGGCATATATGGTTAAAATTTTAAAGAAATATCTTCATAAATAAGGAAGTTGACATTTACTGCGCAGTTGATATTGCGCGTCCTGCGCATGCGCTTATTAATCCGATATTTACAATATGCAATACGTTTGCTTTTACTATAAGCATCTTTGGTTAAAATTTCAAAGAAATATCCCCATAAATAAGAAAGTTGGCATTGCGCAGTATGCGCATACGCACATCTGATTTTTACTATATGCGATATATTTGCCTTTACTACAAGTATCTGTGATTAAAATTTCAACAAAATATATTAATAAATAAAAAGGTTAACATTGCGCAGCGTGCGCCTGCGCATGCGCAGTTCAATCGTCAAGATTTTCCTTGACTCAGGTGCCAGAGCGATACGCTACCGAATGCAAAAAGAACGAACTAAATATCTTGAAAACTGTAGGAGTAGTTAAGGCCTCGGACAGACGGACGGACAGAGAAAGTGGCTGCAATAGCGCACTCAACTTCATTGGAAAATGCCCTAAAAATTTCATGGTTTCAAAATATCATATTTTTTAATATAGTTTTAAAATCCTCTTGCAAATATTAATTTACTGTTTAGCATGTTTCGGTCTTTTTACATCTTTCTTAAGTCTCATTTTAGGATATCCTCAGAAATTTCTTAGAATTTCTGGAAACTTTAGAGTTTTCATTAGAATCTTTGAAATTGTCATAGAACTTTCTTACAACCTTTGAATATAGATATATTTTATAATCAAAGGTCATAAATAAATAAATGAATAAACAAAGTTTTTAGTAAGAATATTACCGTTGCTTCATTGGGAACCAAGCGCCTTGCAAGATATACCTAAGTATTAAACTAAAAATACAGGGAGTAATGTTGGTTGCCTACCATCTTTTTACCTTCATTCCGTAGATTGACAAATTAATTTTCTTTCGAAATAGTTCCGCGGTTGCCAGTTCTTATAAATTTTTACATCGCTGCCGGCTGTATATGCAGGGTGAATATGAATGCACCCTGGTATGTAAGCTAATTTTGAAAAATTTATTTTTTAGGCGCCCTGACATTCGCAGAGTTGGGCACGGTTGTACCAAGATCGGGTGCCGAGTACGCGTTCTATATGGACTCCTTTGGTCCGCTGCATCCATTTTGGGGCAAACTACCCGCGTTCCTGTGCTCATGGGTCTACGTAATTGCGTTACGACCCGCCGAAGTGGCTGTGATAACGTTAACGTTCGCCGAGTACGCCTGCCAGCCGCTGTTCGATTATCTTGGAATGTTTCAAAAGTCTGACAAAGATAATGTGGCAAAACTCATATCTATTGTAGTATTAGGTGAGACAAATTGAAGTCGCTTTTTTGTAGTAACTTGGCGTGTTTCAGGTATTATTACGTTTATTAACGTAACCAGTGTGAAATTGTATGTAAAAATACAGAATATTTTTAGTTCCTTTAAGGTGATTGCATGTATTGTTGTCATATTGGGCGGTGTTTACCAATGGTGTATAGGTACGAACAACTTTCCTTTTCCATTTCCCTTTAACTCTTATTTTTTTTAGGAAATTTTGATAATCTTAATACTGGTTTTGAAGGTACCAAGTATTCTGCCAAAGACATAGCTTTAGCATTTTACAGTGGACTATGGGCCTATGACGGATGGTAATGTATTTGTGCCTTACATCTGCATGAACCAGTACGAATTTTTTTTTTATAGAGCAACTACTATGATCACGTGGTTTGCACTCTTTTATGATCACTCCTTATAAATATCAAATGCAGGAGATGTGTGTTGCCTATTATAGGGTTAATGCTCTTGTATTCGTATAAGTTTAAGAATGGTACAGACAACACACAATACAGATGTACTAAGTTTTATTTCTTGCAGAGTCTTTGAACACTAAAATATTTATAGTAGTCAAAAGAATCCTTTGATATCTACAAAAATACAAAAAAATTTCATTCATCCGTCTGAAGGTTTTAAATATCAGGACTAAGAGCACGTACTAAAGTGTTTTTTGTTTAGTAATTGGCTTCAAGAAATAGAGTGGACGAAGTGAAAAAATTGTGATTCGTTCTATATACTGCTGTGCGAACCACCTGGTCTCCAAGTATATGGCCCATGCAAAATACTGAAATGTCACCCTAAACTTTAGGGGAAACACGTAAAAAAATAAGTGAGACTCACTCCACTATTCGTCACTAAAAATGATTTCAAAAGGCGACAAAAACTAGATTTACAAACAACATTTAATTGCATTGCATTTATTTTCACAAGAATATTTAAATCACAAACTCGGCTTGCCCAAATTACACAAGACTCTACATTTATTGGGATCGTAAACACATATGACAAAATTTTAAAACGAGAAAGGGTATGGTCTTTAAAATGATGTGTGACTAGATATGATGGAGGGGTTGTCCAAAATCATTTCCATTGAACCGTATTCATATGGCTTTTTTCTTACAGGAATGCCGTTACAACCGTGACTGAGGAATTGAAAGATCCCGAAAAGTATAATTTCACAACCCATTACAAATCGAAAAATTCAAAATGACACATTTTTCAGAAACATCCTCCGGAGCATCTGCATCAGCGTACCGATAGTCACGTTCCTGTACGTCTTCGTCAACGTCGCCTACATGACCGCCTTGAGTGTACCGGAAATGGTAGATGCGCCGGCGGTGGCCGTCGCTTTCGGCGAGAAGGCTTTGGGTCCGGTGCAGTTCCTCATACCTGTAGGTGTAGCTTGCGCAACTTTCGGCTGTGCCTTGAGTATTCAATTTAGCGTTACCAGGTACGAGTGACACAGTCACGTGGGTGCGCCAAATCTATTGTCTCCCGTAGAATATGTTTTGTTTCAGGCCAAGACGGCCACATGATAGAGTGCTTGTCGTACGTCCACTACAAGCGGCTAACGCCGGTACCTGCCGTAGTCATGCAGGGTATCCTGTCGTTTTTGTATATAATTGTGGGAAACATCAACGAGCTGATTGAGTTTGCCAGTTTCTTAATTTGGGTCGGATACGGAACCGCCATGTTTTCACTTCTAATATTGAGGAAAACGCAGCCAAACGCTCCTCGACCTTACAGAGTAATTATTAATTATTTTGTTAGGTATGTTTTACATGAAATTCTTCTTAGGTACCAATCTGGATAGTTATCTTCATCATGTTAGTGGCGGTATTTCTGGCTGTGATACCCATGGTCACAGATCCAAGCGTTAAGTATCTCTTCGCAATCGGTTTTATGTTGTTGGGTGCATTCGTCTATTACGGATTTGTCTACAGAAAGAATCGCCCAAGGATAATGGGTGCGACCATTCCCTGAAGAGAAGCAAGTATTAATATTTATATTCTTCCAGATAAAATTACCTATGCCGTGCAAGTTTTATTCGAAGTCGTGCCGGTAGACTCGCACGAAGATTAAGTGCCTCGAAAACTACTTATGAATTTCTCCAACGGTGCAAAAAGACTGGAAATGTCCTTGTGAACCGAAGTGTACATTAAATTAATGTGTTCATTACCAGCTGCCTCTAGTCATTGTGATTAAAAGACTCTTGATAATAAATTTTTGTAACTTATTGAATTTTCTAAGTAGATTAATGCGTAAAGGTTCCTTCATATTATATATTAATAAATATTATATATTACTAAGTTATTAAAATGTATAATTTTGATTATCTTTTGTACATTCTTCCCCTACAACTACTTATCAGACTTTTTACACCCCCACTTGTCATGCTTGAAGGTCGCCTTCGGTCGAAGCCCCGGGCATTTAACCTACAGATCTTGCTGTCATTTTCAAAAATTTCTAGGCTTCTCTAAAGCCCCCCCCCCCCATGGGCGTACGCAGGGAGGGGCAAGGGGGGGGGCAGCAGCCCTTCCCTGGCCTGGCCACAGGTTACGTTTTATGTTTGTTAAAAAATATCTGTAAGAATTTTCTTTGTTGGCTTCTAATTCAAAACCTTTTCTTTTGAGATTTAAACAATGAAAGAGGTTTTAAGCTATAAATTAGGGTACCTATATACAGATATACCGAAATTGTACCGATATACCGAAATGGCCTTTATTTCTACTTATCTATTTTCGCCCCGTGTTCTTTGCATATTTAATACAAAATTAATTGATATAAAAGCGGTAATAACTAACATTTTGAAATATAATAATTTTGAAGACGTTTTTAGTAACTATTATTTTTTATTTATTTTATTTTGTCCTTTATTTTTGAGTGGGCGAGGTTTCAGCCAAGGCTGCTCTACCAACCCAACCCACTATACATTTACAAATCATGCCCGAACCCGGATTCGAACCGGCCCTTAGCACCACAGTTCAGCTTTAACTGAACTGCGCCACACTTACCTACTAAAAATAAAAATGTATATTATGTGTTTCATTAAACATTTTTCTCCGCCAATTTTATTTTTTGCCCCTCCCTAGACCAAAAGCAAAGGTACTGGAAAACTTCGAAAAATGCATTCTCAAACAGATGTGCAAATGTATAAATAGATCTGGAAATTAATTTAAATAAAAATAACTTGCATGACCCTTCTACCGTTTAGGAATAATAAGCATGTGTACGTATACTTATGCGTTGACGTCCACGATATTTTTGAATTACTCGAAACGATTTAATATTTTTTAGAAAATAAATTTTGTGTACCTGAAGGTTTCTTTGTATCTTTTTCCGCTTTAATGCGTTTTCAATTAAATGTGCTCGATCGTGATTAACGTAAGAATACACCATAAGAATCAATTAGCGAAAGTACGATGGACTCGGCTCAAACTTCACTTCTCATCGACAATAAACTGGTTTAACTTCACCCTATATTAGAAAGTTAGCATTTAATGAAATTTATAATAATAAAAAACCCAAGTAGAAAAATGCATTCATTTTCTTGACCACATACAAATTTAATTTTCTAGGGATTTATTCTGGAGAGAAGTGAATGAAAACCATATATGACTGAGACAGTGCGGAATAAATTAATGTACAATTAAAAGGTTTTTGAAATACGCCCAGACTAGCGCGGGCAGATTTGGCACTTCGAGAATTACTCCCGTGAAGCTGCGCACGAAAAATGGACGGCTGGAAAATGATCCAATACCCCTTCTGCAGAATTCAGTGTACAGGGTGTCCCACTTTCGACACTTTATATAGTGTTTCCGTATGTGTTAGTGTAATGAAAAAAGTAACATAGGTCTCACATGCTTTTTTTGGGTGAAACTTAAATTGATAAAATCAAAATTTAAAAATATTTGCTCGGAAAAATCGAAAAATTGTCAATATCAGATGACCTTATGTTTTCTTAGTTAAAAGGTACAGAAAAATGTTTTTCACAAAAGTTTCTTTATAGTGGTTGTTGAATAATCTGCCGTGTTCAAAATAAGTAATTTACAATTTTAATGTCTATTTGTCCATTTTAGATTTGTTTTTATTCGCTTAATTTCTTGTTTAAGTTTTATCTTTCATGTAAATTTGTTTGTGTAAATTAATTATGAGATGTTGAAATTGCGTTATTTGGATTAAGGAACATTTGGTCAAGTGCATTTAAGGGATATCTGCCCGGACGCGATAAGGGCGTTGTTATCGCACAAGTTAATTGATTTTGGAAACTCACGTGTGTTTACCGATGATAACAAGGGCTATAGGTGTGGATTTCTTTTGCGCGTGTTATGGAACTTCAAGCGCTCCTGATTGGTGTTACATTGAATTTGACGGAAAGTAGATTTTGCTGTTCAAGTCACTACGGGCAAAAGAGCGTGTACGTCTTGCGCGCTAATTTTATGAAGTAATTGGCTTTTCTGTTTGTTGAAACACGCGGTTTCGTCATATTCAGAATTTTCTGTGCAGATGTAATGCGATGATCTGAAGTAGCTCGTGCACAATCGGTGTGATTTAAAATTAAAGAATGTTAGCGGAATAATAATTAAAATTTAATTAAAACAAAAATAAATAAACATACAAATTATATTGTAATTATCAGACGTAATAGCGGCAATCGACGACAACCAGTTCCGTCGGCGGACGACGGCCACAAGAATCGACTGAGCGGATGGACGGACGGGCCACCAAGCGAAAATCTCGCGTCTGGTCGAGGTCGGCGGTAACCACGGATTGGCAGGTCGATCTCGGTAACTTCGGGTGAAAACTGAACCGGAGAAACGGTAACCAGGAATCGGTCGAGTCCAGCAAACGGCAGGCTCTCTAGCGGGAGCGAAAGCAACAAAACACAAATCGGCGGATGTGGTGAAGGGAAATCATACAGTATCCCCCCCTTACACTTAGAAAAACGAAAAAAGGTCACCTTTACGATAACGGAGCGGTAGAAAAAGTTGCTGAAAGCAAATTCCAATGAATACGGGTAACTTAATCCACAAACAAAATAAAACGGTACGGATGAAAAATGTATTTACGGCAAGAATGCAAAAGCAAAAGATCTAAATACGTTACGGTTGCAAATACATTGTATATACACTGTGACTTATCTTATCCATGTAAATGGCTAAAAGATCAAATACATATTATTATTATTATTAAAAGAAAAGTTAAAATTTCAGTACTAACAAAACATTATTAGGTAAAAAGGCAACAGCTTTAACTTTCCGCAATTACAAATGGCAAAAGATCAAACTACGGTACGGTTTCGCAAAAATTTACTCAATAAATTAAGTTACTTACGGAAAGAATGAAAAATGGCAAAAGGTTCCCACAAAATCAAGCGTTTACCTTATAAAGAAATCCGGCTCTTAAGGAAGTGGAATACGGGAAATCCAGCTCTTCGCTGTATTCAATACAAACACGAATCAAATATCGGAAAAATATGGAACAACCTGCAAACCTTCTGGAGGAATTACAGCGCATCCGGGGAACCTCTCACGACTGTTTTTGATAACGTTCACTACAACTCATTAAAACGTCAGTTATTAACAATGCTTACCCAATTAGGCGCCTTCAAATTTCAATACTAATTAATCCAATTAACACCTAGGCCTAATTGGTATTTTTCCGGCACAACGACTGTTGTCGTTATCTACACACATGCAAGGCTGAAAATTGATAACGTGTAATCACCTCGATTGGAAAGTCGTTTCTATCCTGATTTTCACTTATTATTGGAAACTAAAGTGCTTAATAATTAATTAACGCCGCTGAGATGTCAAAATATTAATTACATATCTTCTTCCCGGTTATACGAGCTTTCAGCGACTGCAAAAATAATTTAAGTATTTACCGGAACGGTTGGCAAACTGCTAAATTCAATACAAAACTTACGTGCGTTATCGGCGGACAGACCCACATTACCCTCTCACAAGACTTTAGTTTCATTACTGTAACGAAGCACAAAAATGCGAGGAGAGGAATATTATCTTCCTAAACTTTCATTTGAACCTTTTTCTCGTAATATCAACCGCTGCGGAGTTATTTTTAGAAAACCGATTTTCTGTCCCTTTCATCCAAGATGACGGCGCGAGCGATCTCTCCCTATCAAGGTCGAAAACATGTTTTTCCAAGACCAGACCTCAAGAACATATTACAAAAATTACTACTGCTCCATGTTTTTAGGGAAAAGGCCCTATTTGCCCCATACTGGACTAAAGGGAGATGGACAAACTGCGAAGGTTCAGGAGCGAAGACTGCAATGGTTTGAATATTTAATGAGAAGAGAAGAGGAATAGGTTGGAAGAAGAGTGAGAAAAATGCAGGTGGAGAGAGACAATGAGAAGGTGGAAGAACTACAGTGTCTTGGAGGGTTTAAGAGAGAAAAGGTTGAATGAAGAGGGAGGATGTGTGGAACAGGAGTCAGGAATAATAAGGAGGAAATGCTAAAGAAGAAGAAAGATGACGGTTTATTATCAACTATTCCAAATTGTTACCATCTCTTTCTCGCTTATGAGTTGACATGTGAAAATAAAGAATGCAATTTTGTAAATTTTAGTTGCACAGTAGGGTTGTATAATTTATAGTAGTGAACATGGAGTATAATTACGTCTAATCTAATGTCCCATATAAACAAACAAGTAATACCTACGTATGTTTTTGCGATGATCTCGTGAAGTTGGTTGGCACTGATAGTATGTAGTACCATTGAATAAATGTGGTTTTTTATTCAATGGTAGTATATTAAATGTGAAGAGAAAACGCGTAGATTGTTTAAGGAACTATTTGAAGTATCTTTAGTTTGTAAAGTGATTCGTGATCCTTTAGAACCGGATTTTCCAAAAACCGCAGTGGTACAATGGAAGCAAGTTATGGCTCATTAAAGTATATTGGATTCTGAAGAGAGTACATTTAATAGTGATTTTTCGGAACCGGATATTCCGACAATGTGGATGGTACATTTGGCAGATTGGTTTATTTTTTGAGCCGTCAATTATATTCTCCGGCAACTTTACCGGAGCTCAATCATTAGTTTCTCTGCCATTTACCTACACCTCTCTTATGGAAATGGGATATTTACCTACTCATAAGAGGGGTAAATCACTTTATTTATTTATTGCCTTTATTTTTATTGAATTTCAAAACTATGAACGCTGGAATGATATTGCGTAACGGTCACCCGCGCCGCATTACGAAAGAGAT